CCCTCAACATCACCCCGGAGCAGTTCTCCCGGCTGCTGCGGGACCACAACCTGACCCGCGAGCGGTTCATCGCGCTGTACGGGCTGCGGCCGCTCGTCTCGGTCCCCGAGCTGCCGGCGCGCGCCAAGCTGGCCCTGGTGCTGGCCGGCGGGCTCATCTTCGCGCTCGCGCTCCTGGGCAACGCGCTGGTGGTCTACGTGGTGGCCCGCAGCCGCGCCCTGCGCACCGTCACCAACATCTTCATCTGCTCCCTGGCGCTCAGCGACCTGCTCATCGCCTTCTTCTGCATCCCGGTCACCATGCTCCAGAACGTCTCGGACACCTGGCTGGGGGGTGAGTCCGCCGCCGTCCCGGGGCCCCGCCTCCATGCACACCCCGCTCCTCCGATCTCCTGACCTTTCTCTCCAGCAAGGAGTCCAGGCCTTTCTTACAACTTCCTCGCCTGAACTCACTCGCAGAAAAGTTTTTCACCCCCTGTGACTCTGTCCGGGTTTCTCTCCTGGTCGGTTACAGAGCCGCGGGTCAGGGAGCCGCTTGGGAAAGAAGGATCCAGGGCAGAGAGGGGGAGTGTGCCGCTCTCCAGTCATTTCACCTCCCCTCCTCGTAATCACCAAGGTTTCCTTTTAATTTTTAATAAAAGATAAAGATATTGCAAATAATAAAAGCCCCAACATCCCCACATCCGCAACCTCTGGGCTCACTCCCCAAGGTGCCAGTGTGGGTTCCAGGCCATTTTTTGCAGCCCAAGCAAACATATGGACTTAAAACTTTTCTAAAACAAATATAGTGCATTTGCAGAAAAATGGATTAACAGAGCCAGGCAGGGGAGGGGACAGAGAACCTCTGCCTCCCGACAGGAGAGAGAAGTTCCTTTCCTCCTCAGTAGGGGAGCGGAAACGGTGGAGACGACCTTGGAGTCCCTGGATCCCCAGCCCTGCGTGGAGGTGGGAAAACAGACACTGCACTTCCCCGAGCAATCCAGTCCCTCCAGACGCAGCCAGAGAGCCTGTCCTTGTCCCCCGAAGCATCCCCGCCAGTCCCCGTGCTGCACCTGGGAGAGGAAGCCTTGATGTACCCATATTTTCATGCGTCAGCGTATCCTTGTGGCCACATCAAAATCCTTACCAAGGGGTTGGAGACAGAGGGAGAGCGTGAGAGAAACGGGTCGTTATGCTTCAAGCCCCGCATTCCCACCCCTTTGCTTCTCCCCTTCAGCCTCCTGGAGGGTGTTCCTTGCATCCCACCATCACCAATGTGAGGTTGTCAGTTTCTCTCCCTGGCCTTGCTTTCCCCCCATTAATTCCCACCAGGTTTACTGCAGTGGGTCAGGATGCTGAAATGTTTGATCCCCCTCTCACCTATAATGTAGCTATCTCCGCAAACGCGTGCGGAGCACTGGCTGGAAAGGGAAATGCTATGCGGAGAGTTGCAAATTGACTTATGAGCTAGGCTTTCTCTCTCGCACTCCGTGGAATCATTGCCCGGGAGTATTTTAAAGTTGCCCAGTGCAACTAACTCCGTCAAGTTCACGTGCAACCTTTTCATCATCCTATAGAATTTATTATTTTGAGGAAAAGGCACAGGAGCTTTTGTTTCTAAGTGTTTGTGAAGACAGATTTAGGCAGCATACGTGTATTGCTGAGTGCCTGTAGCTCCACCTTTAAAACAACATTATTGAGCAAAGTGGGGTTTTCTATTGAGAATCAAAAACCCGGATGCCTACTCTGGCTCTAAGACAGGTTAATTCTATGTGTCTGGGCCTCGGCTTTTCAATAAAATGTTCGGGATTCTAGAAGCTGGGAAGGAGGATGTGGCAGACGTTAGTCCCGAGACTCGTGGTGACACCTGGGGACTGCTTGCAGACCTTCCCACCTGAGGACGTGGGTGGGCACAGCGCCGGCTTTTTTAGGCTTCTTGCTTCATTGCGCCCTCGTTCAGGGAGGGCCTGTCCCTCAGCTTCTAAATGCCTACGGGCAACACACTGCTTATGTATTCACAGGGTCAGTGTGAGGATACAGCGTGTTAGTAAAAGTGCTTTGAAAAAACTAGCTATTCCATGAAAATGCGAAGTAGTAATTCTGTTAAGGAGTGTTTCATTGGAGGTGGCCTATGTTTATCTGGGGCCAGGCTTATAGAATAAATATTCTTATAACCCGAGTAAGCAACACAGAAATTGAAGTTCAGGGAAAGGGGAGAGCTTGCAGAGTTACTGGGGATAGTGAGGCCAAGAAAAGGAGGTTTTACTGGGTAGGATGAGATAAAATTACAGAACTCCCAGGATCGAGTAACAAGAGAAAGTCCAAGGTAGGGGAGTTTAAGAGTTGAAAATGAACTCAGCACTTAGTATTTCATGAAGCTATTGGCAAAGCATTGGTTTATTCGGAAATGAGTAAAGCTCACCTATGCCTTTGTGGGCCTCAGAGAACAGGAAACACCCCGAAATGAACAAAACTAGGATTGGACAGAGGAGGCGCCAGGCTGCTGTGGGAGCTGAGGAGTCGGGAAGCCTCGCCAAGGGGGCTGTTCAAGGTGGCCTGGAGGACGGCTCAGCTGTTTCCACAGAGGAAGGGTGGGGTGTGCTCTAGGGACCAGGATTGACACCGAGTTCGGAGGAAAGGCGGCGAAGTACTCCGAGAACACCGCGTGAGGCTCAAGAGTTTAGTGTACGTGTGGGAATGAGACAGGTAGGCAGTGCCACTGGGGGTAGACTGGAAGTTGTATAAACCTGAACTATGACTGCGTCTCAAACGCCCCAGGGGAGGTGGGGGACCAAGCACAGCAGGTGGAAGACCACCAGGGCTGACAGTGGAGGACGGAAGACTCCTCCCCCCATCCCGGCCCAGGATTGCTGCTCCTGGTGCAGGGAGGAGGCGGGGGCCCAGTATTGTCCTATCTTCCTTTATTGTTGTCATTGCTTTTATTATTTTTTCCAGAGAAGCTGAGAATACAGATTTTGATGATGCTGGCATTTAGTTCATTTAAAAAGTAAAATGCACTTGGGTGAAAGAAAACTTTTCTCTGGGTTTTGCCCCAACTAACTCATGGACCTCTAGTTTGTGACTTCCTGCAAAGCCTCTCGCCAACCTTCTGACCACGGTGGGGCTGGTAATGACCCACTGCGTGGGTCGTTTTTTGTTTTTTTACCACTCATGTCCCTTGCTGGGGACCAACACAGCCCGAATTTTGTCAAGATCCCCAGGTGGTTCGCACAAAAGGCAGGGACGCAGAATTCTCAACCAGGGCTCTCACCTGGCTGCACAGAGACCCTCCCCAGAGCCTATGAAGTTGATCTGTAAGCCCTGGCCGGTGGCTCAGATGGTTGGACAGTTGTCCCATGCACCAAAGGGTGGTTGTTCGATCCTGAGTTGGGGCATGTACAGGAGACAACCAATGGTTCTGACCCGGGAGCCAGCCTGCACTGCACCCGCCCTGCACATATCTGCCCAGGGCCCCATTCAAGGACGCCACGCTGCTGCTTGAACAGGTTACGGCGGAAGATTCCCACTGTGGAAACCGGCGGCTATAAATGAAACCTCTAAAAAAAAACCCCAAACGGTTGTTTCCAGCAAACCATTGAGCAAAGGCCTCGAGCTTCCCTTTGTACTGCGATGGCACCGTGTGAGGCAAGTGCATCCAAAAACACTGGGTTTTGCCTGGCCGGCGTGGCTCAGCAGTTGAGTGTCAACCTATGATCCAGGAGACCGAGGTTCGATTCCTGGTCAGGGCACATGCCCGACGGGGGGGGAGGGGGGGGCGTGCAGGAGGCAGCCGATCAAAGACTCTGTCATCATTGATGTTTCTCTCTCTTTCTCCTTTCCTCTCTCTGAAATCAATAAACACATACTTAAACAAACCAAAATAAAAACACACAAAAAACCACTGGGTTTCTATCCAATGGCAGTCACCAGAAGGTGGTCCATCGGATGCTCAGCATCCCAGTGGTGCCCGGCACTGGCACAGAGGCGAGCTGCCCGACAATCCCTTTTATGTACCTGTGTTAGCGTCCCAGCATCGGTGACCACCAGCTGTCACTCCCACTCTCCCAGAACTCTTCCAACACGGGGCGAGCAGGAGTGGGCCTCTTTCCCCCCAGAATAATAAGTGGGATTTGCTTATGACTTTCCTGTTATGACCAGTGTGAGAATGGGGTTGTGTTGCCATAGCAATTAGGAGTCGGGCGCTGGAAGTTCTGACTCCCGTCTGCTCCCTTCTCCGTTTGGTCGGACTCCAGCGGGGAACCTGCCCGCTGGGCTCGTGGTCCATGGAACTGACCTGTCCTTCCCGCGGCCTGTTTCTCCTCACTTGGTCTCTTACCCCTTCCTTCACAATATCTAACAGTTCCTTCACATTTGCTGAGTGCACATGTTGTTTTTTCCAGGTAATTTCAGAAAAATCATGTTCTGTTTTATCCAGGTATATGCAATAGAATTTCCCAGGTAAATTCTGACACTTTGCTCTCTTCTGGAGGATTCCATAAATGCCGTGTTTCCTTCTTTCTCTATTTTCTTTATGTCTCTGTCTCCTTATGTTCTGCCTTTGGAAGGTTCTTACCCTTCCTCCTACTTGAGTCTCTCCTCTTTCCTCATTCATTTCTCCACGGCAGCTGTTGTCAGGACTCCCGTTTCTTTGGCGATGATTCTGAAATCAGCATCTAACCATCATTGGAAGCCACAGGCTCTCCCCTGATCTGTGGACACGACACACGGATCTCTTACCAGCATCCCATGTTCTCACCTCTGCCCAGGGCTACCCTATTATTAATGGTCCTGGGAGTCACTCGTATCCAGCATGTCCTGGCTCTCTACTGAGTACATGGGGTCCTGTAGGTGTTGAGAATGGTGTCCTGTGGAAGATCCAGGCCTCACTGAGAGCGGGAAGGGGAAGAGAGTGTTCAATGAAAGGGTGGGAGATGCCTAGGACTGTTGACGTCGGGGTTCCAGATGCACATGGGGAAAGCACAATGGGACTGTTGGGAAGTGGCGGCCTTGGGTCAGGTTGAGGGATGCTCAGGTCCTAGATGTCCAGGACGAGGGACGGTCTGGGAGAACAAGACTCATGGTGATTGAGGTCATGTGAACTTAGCTGGGAAGATTCATTCTGAAGAGCTCCCAGGAGGTGGGAGGTCAGTTCTACCCCAGCCTCATTTACGGGTCTCAGCATTAATGAGGTGAGGAGGGGGTGTCTGAGGGCAAGGGGCAGAGTGACAGCCATGCAGGGCCCACCTCCATCCTGCAGTGGGTGCAGTCTCAGCCCAGGGACAGGATGCTCTGCCACGTGCACACACAGCTCTGTGGCTCTCCCTGCAGTCCTGCTGTGAGCAACGAGAGGGATTT